TTACAGTGTCAGCATATCGCCCCTAACCATCTGGGTCCTCCTTTAACCGACCTCGGAAGGACAGACGGCTGAGTGAGTCAACCTGGAGCCAAGTGAAGAGTCGAACGGCCAAATGGCCGGCAGTCAGCAGAAGCAGCCTGCAGTACCGCACTCTAACCACTACGCCACCGCGGCTCGCTATAATCATCATCATCATCGTCTCCAAGCTCCCTTTCCCTGTCCGGCGACGCATCGTCCGAGAAGAATTCCCACCACCACCCCGAACTGGTACCTGGAGGTTCGTAGCTGTGGCCGAGGCCCATCCCGCCGCTGATACCCAGGTGCGTCATGGTGTTGGCCAGGTTGCCGGTGCTGCTTCCGCCGCTCAGGCTGGGATAGGCCGACTCTTCCGGGTCGAGGGGCGTAGGCAACGGAGAAGGGAAGTGCAGGTTGGTCAAATCTGGCAGGGATCCTCCCGTATTGTGGGTGGATGGGATGGGGGGCAGGTTGGCAGGCTGGTCAGGGGACGGGAAGATGCTGGAGGAAGGAGGGAAAAAGGATGGGATGAATAGAGTTGGAAGAGACCTTGTAGGTCATCTAGTCCAACCCCCACCCCCCCGCCGCCCAAGCGGGAGACCCTACACCATTTCTGACAGATGGCAGTCCAGTCTCTTCTTGAAAGCCTCCAGGGATGAAGCTCCCACAACTTCCAAAAAACAAGCTCTCCCATTGAACATAGAATAACAGAGTTGGAAGGGGACCTTGGAGGTCATCTAGCCCACCCCCCCCCCCCCGCCCAAGCGGGAGACCCTACACCATTCCTGACTAATGGCAGTCCAGTCTCTTCTTGAAAGCCTCTAGGGATGAAGCTCCCACAACCTCCAAAGGCAACTTCTGTTCCAGGGGTTGATTCTTTCTCAGTGTCAGAAAGTTTCTCCTTATTTCCAGATTGAATCTCTCCTTGATCAGTTTCCATCCATTATTCCTTGTCTGGCCTTTGGGAGCTTTAGAAAACAGCTTGACCCCCTTCCTCCTCTCTGGGGCAGCCCCCCCAAATATTGGAAGATGCTCTCCTGTCTCCCCTGGTCCTTCTCTTCCCTAGACTAGCCAGGCCCGGTTCCTGCAACCGTCCGTCGTCTGTTTCAGCCTCCAGTCCCCTCATCGTCCTGGTTGCTCTTCTCTGTCATTCTTCTAGAGTCTCAACATCTTTTTTTTTTTTATAGTCAGCCTGCATGCTCATTTGTGCCAACTTTTGCCACAGCTCCCCGCAGGGAGAAATCTCGCCCGCCCCGTCTTTGCCCTTTAGCAGCTACCTTTCTACCGGTGGCGAGATCATTACTGTTAGAATTGAGAATTTGACCTTGAGGGTCATTGCATTCCACGAAGGCAATGAAATTGGAAAGGATGATCTTTTAACCCAAGCTGGAAGCTCGAAATTCAAGGCCTCGTTTCGCTAGCTGCGCCCTGACCGCCCCCAAGCCCTTCCCCCTCTCCTGGCTCAAAAAGAGAAGCAGAGTTGGGGGAATCTTCGATGGGTTTGAGATCGGAGGGGCTCAGAGAAAACGACACCGCGACGAGAAAGGAGGACTCCGCTGCTACTCACTGGATTCCAGGCACCTCGCAGGATCGGGGACGGGCGGAAGAGGAGGAGAGCTGAAGAAAAGAGAAACGGCCTGTTATTGGCTGGGGGAAGGGGGGGGGATGGAGAAGGGGGGAGGGGAGAGGCCACGAGGGAGGGGGCGAAGCTTTTTCCCCCTTGGAACCACGAGGGGGGCAACGGGCACCCACCTTCTTGGTGTCCCAAGGTTTCAGCGACTGCTTCCCGTCGTCCAAGAAGCTCTCTTCGATGGAAGGCACTTGGAAAAGGAACACTGGGAAGGAGGAGGAGAGAGAAGGGTGAGGAGGCTGCCTCAGTTTCCCACAAGGGAGTTTTAGGGGAAGGAGGAGAGAAAGAGAAAGAGAAAGAGAAAGAGAAAGAGAGAGAAGAGAAGAGAAGAGAAGAGAAGAGAAGAGAAGAGAAGAGAAGAGAAGAGAAGAGAGAATAAAAAAGAAGAGACCAGAAGAGAAAAAAAAGGAAAGAGTAAAGAGAAGAAAGGATAAGAGAAAAAGAGAAGAAACCAGACGAGAGAACAAAAGAGACCAGAAGAGAGAAGAGAGAATAAGAAACCAGAAGAGAAGAAACCAGAAGAGAGAAGAAAAGAGAAAATAAAAGAAACCAGAAGAGAAGAGAAAAAAGGAAAGAGGAAAAGAAAGAAGAGAAAAGAGAAGAAACCAGGAGAAAAAGAGAAGAGAGAATAAATGAGAAGAGACCAGACCAGAAGAGAAAAAAGGAAGGAGAAAAGAAAAGATGAACGAGAAGAAAAGAGAAGAAACGAGAAGAGAGAAAAAGAAAAGAGAGAATAAGAGAAAATAAGAGACAAGAGAAGAGAAAAAAGGAAAGAGAAAAGGAAACAGGAACGAGAAGAAAAGATAAGAAAGCAGAAGAGAAAGAGAATAAAAGATAAAACAAAACAGACCAGAAGAGAAGAGGAAAAAGGAAAGAGGAAAAGAAAGAGAAAAGAGAAAAAGAGAAGAGAAGAGAGAATGAGAAGAGACCAGAAGAGAAGAGAAAAAAGGAAAGAGAAAAGAAAAGATGAACGAGAAGAGAAGAAACCAGAAGAGAGAAAGAAAAGAGAGAATAAAAGAGAAGAGACCAGAAGAGAAAAAAGGAAAGAGCAAAAGAGAAGAAACAAGAGAAAAGAGAAAAAGAGAGAGAAGAAAAGAGAAGAGAAGAAAGAAGAGAAGAGAGAAAAAGAAGAGAAGAACAAGAAGAGAGAAGATTACAGCCTCCTCTCCCACTTTTCCCACTAAGACAAAAATATAACCCAACTTGGAGAAGCAAATGCTCATCTGATGGGGACAAGCGAAGAAGCCAAGACTTGAGGCCTCCTTACCTTTGCTATCCGTATCTGTATCTAGGTAACCTTAAAAAAAGAGAGAGAGAAAAAGAAGAAAATGTAAAAAGAATAAAATAAAAATAGCAGTGGATAATTGTGGGGGCTATAAACTCCCAGACCCCCCCCTCTCCCCCTTCCTCCTGGGCCTTCGCGCAGGTCGAGACCCCTTTGCTGGGGATAAATTTAAAGCTTCCTTGGGACGGGCCCCTCTTAAAATCAGCGCTTCTCGTGTTAAGTTGGCCCCTTGAAGAGGGGGGTGGACTTCAACTCCCAGGATTCCCATGGCCGGCTGGGGAATTCTGGGAGTTGAAGTCCACCCCCTCTTCAAGGGGCCAAGTTTTGAGGAGAATGGCTACATGCTTGAAGTCTCGGGACACACACACACACACCACCACCATCACCTTATTTTAATGAGCCCATAATTCTTTGCGGAGCGGAGTTTTACTGGCCGGAGGCCTTTCCTGTCGCCAGGGCTGAGTTATATTCAGCAGATACACTCTCGACCCACCTCTTCCTTCAAAGCGATTGAAAGCAGCCGCTTCTCTTCCCAACAAGGACCATCAAACCACCGTTAAACCATCATCTCGAATCGACGGGGAAGATGCATCCGGCAAAGAAACCCCAAATCCTAGCTGGAGCGTGACCCCCTCCACCCCCCACCCCGGCCTCTCGCAAGACCCACGCTGTGCTAGGACCCCCCCCCAACCGTCCCGCAAGCCACTCACCGCTCTTACGATTGGGAGGGGGCCCCGCCTGGGAGGGTCCCAGGTAGGCGTTTGGTGGGTTGGGGTTCATCACGCTGGTGTGCAGGGCCGAGTCCGAATTTGTTCTGCTTGCAAAAGGCGGAATTAAAAAGAAATGAAATAAAAGAGTTTAAATCTTAACTCCTGGGGAGAAAAAAACCCTGATCCAGCTAGTCCTTGGCTTACAAACAGTTCGTTTAGCGACGGTTCGGAGTTACGATGGCAGTGGGGACGGGAAAGGGGGCTTAGGGCCGTGTTTCACACTTACAACCGTTGGCCGCCTCCTTGCTGTCACACACGATCCAAATTCAGAAGCTTTTTGGCAAACCGACTCGTGTTTACGACGGTTGCAGCATCCCCGGGGGGAGGGGGAGGTTGGTGGTTCACGCCATCCCCTTTTTGCGACCTTCTGACCAGCCCAAGTCAATGAGCCCGATTCGCTTAACGACTGGGTTACTAACGTCAGCTGTTCACTGAACCATGTTGGCGAGCGAGGTCGTGAAAACCCACCCAACCAATGCCTCCCTTAGCGACAGGAAACTTTTGAGCCCGGCTGGGGTCGCAAGTCGAGGTTAACTTTAGATTGGCACAGCACCTCCCTCCTCCATCGGCCTTGCCAGCTGGCGCTGAGTTCAAAACATGGCCGCAAGCAGCAGCCCGAAGGGGCAGGGAGGAGGAGAGGTTGCGTGTTAACGAAGCTGCCAAAGAGGTTGATTTTCTTCTTTCTCCCTCCCTCCTTCCCTTTCTTTCTTCCTTTCCTTTTTTTCCTTCCTTCCTTCCTTCCCTTCTTTCTTTTTCCCTCCATCCTTCTCTCTCTCTTGTTCCTCCCTCCCTCCCTTTCCTTTTTTTCTCCCTCCCTTCCTCTTTCTCTCTTGTTCCTCCTTCTCTCCCTTTCCTTTCTTTTTCTTCCTTCCTTCCCTTTTCTTTTTCCCTCCCTCCCTCTTCCTTTCTCTCTTGTTCCTCCCTCCCTTTCTTCCTTTCCTTTTTTTCATTCCTTCCCTTTCTTTTTCTCCCTCCCTCCCTCCCCTTCTTTCTCCCTCCCTTCTTTCCTTTCTCTCTTGCTCCTCCCTCCCTCCTTCTTTCCTTTCCTTTTTCTTCCTTCCTTCTCTCCCTCATTCCCACCCTTTCCTCCCTTCCTTACCTCTCTCTCTCCCTCCCTCCCTCCCTTTTTCTTTCTCCCTCCCTTCCTCGCTTTTTCCTCCCTCTCTCTCTCCCTCCGTCTCTCACTTTCTTTCTTGCTTTCTCCCTCTCTCTCTCTCTCTTTCAAAGCTCCCTTTCCACTCTTATCTTTTTAACCATGTCTTGGGGGGGGGGGGGACAAATTGGGGGGGGGGGGGGGGGCCACGGCAGGTCTTCCGAAGGAACATAATGGGGGTCCTTGTTGAGTGGTGTGAGCACATCGGCCTCCTCCATGGCCTTGTGCATTGAAGAAAGCAGCCAAGGGTTGTGTGTGTGTGTGTGTGTGTGTGTGTGTGTGTGTGTGTCCAGGTCCATGAGAGGCAAACCAGAGGAAAGGAGAATGAGCCTAGGGCTCGTTTTACTTTCCCCCAAATTTCCAGAACTGGCAAAAGAGAGGAAATATATATATATAAGAGAGATTAAGCGTTGGGGAAGAAGGTGCGGAAAAATATTCTCCTAGGAAAATGTAATTATTGTCTACTAAAAAAAGGCAAAATTGTTTCCCCTAAAAAAAGAGAAGTAGAAACTCAACTCGGGGAGGCAGAAGCTCATCCCACCCACCTTTTGTTAACGGGCGGGGCCATTCAGGCCTGGGACAGAGGATTCTACATAACAAAGGCCTCCACCCACCTCACCCACACGGCGCCTGGGAAGACTGCCAGCAGCCAGCGGCACTCAGGTGAAGCCATGTGGTCCAGGCAAAGCCTACAAAGTTAGCTAAGCCCCCCTGGGTGTCTGACAGCCAATGGGATACATTTCTTACACGGGAACAGGAAACACGCAGGTGGGGCCCAACAGAGGTCATCTAACCAAGGGATTCTCAGCATCTCTTTCCTTTTTTCACCCAGGAGCTCTGAGCCACGTGGTCCTGTCCACCATTAAACCTTCTTTCCAAGCAACTTTTCTCCCACTTGGAACTAAACCCAGAAGGATATTTCTTCCAACACGAGGAAATATTTTGCTTTTTCTTTGGGTTCAGATTCACAAGGGCCCAAAGCCCCTCGAGATGCCATTTGTGGGAACAAAGGGTCAATTTAAAGAGGGGTGTGTGTGTGGGGGGGGGGGTAAAACACCTTGGGAGAAAAAGGAATCACCTGTTGAGTGAGGCTGGCAGTCGAAACAGGCGTTCTTTCTCCATGGGGAAATTGCTCCACGGCATCGTCCTTTGCAACAACAAAAAAAGAGAAAAACACCAGAGTTACTCCAAGGTTGGCCTTCCCAACAGTTAAGATTTTTGCAAATCTGGGCTGCAGTTCCACAGGCTACCATTTGGGGGCAGAAACCCAGACAAGAGGTTCCTTTCCCGCCCTCTAGAGGGCAGCCTCCGTTTCTGCTTACCCCAACATGGTCCAGAAGTTGAAAAATTGGCCCAACTTGAGCAAGCAAACTGACAACCCTTGGAGAAAATTGTGTGCTTGTGTGTTCCACTTCTGTGGTGACGTGCTTTGCGATGGTCGTAACTTATGACCGTCATTGCAGGGCTCGATTATGGTCATAACTTGAGGTGCAAGTGACCAAAAGGGGAAGGAGGAGACTGGGAGGAAAAACAGTGAGGAGGAAAATTAAATAAAAGCAAAGGATGGTAGCTGTGGGGTCCTTGGTGCTCTCTGGGCTGGGTTTGTTTTCTTGCGGACGTTTCATGACCCAACTAGGTAACATCATCAATGCTAGGAGGAAGGGGGTGGGTGGGTTGTGAAATGGAGGAGGAAAAAGAGCAGAAAAAGAGGAAATGGAGGAGATGGAGGAAAACTGTGGAGGTGGAGGAAGACTGTGGGGTCCTCGGTGCTCCCTAAACCAGGTTGATTTCTTGCAGACGTTTCATGACCAAGCTAGGTAACAGCATCAGCGCTAGTAGGGAAGGAGGTGGGCTCCCATTTTATACAGCAATGGCTTGCTCTGTCGGTAAAGTGTGGAAAAGACTCACCTTCTCCAGCTGGGCTCAGCAGGAGGGGACAGGTACGCCGGACTGTAAGGAGAACTGTCGATGTGATGGGGGGGGGTGTTAAGGAACACACAACGTTGTGGGTCAACAGCAAGCTCCCCGTTGTGGGTCGAACCCCAAAGGGGAATCCATCCCTGGAGAACCTCCAGCCCAAGCTGTGTTGTGTTCGCAAGCCAAGGGAAAGGAAAACCCGCCTTGAGGCGAAAGGATATTTGTCGTACGTAACGTCGCAGCGGCGAGATCATCCGGCGGGGATCCCGTTGCACCCGTTCCACCAGGCCGTGGTGCCGTGTGCCCCGGGCCGAGTCCAGCGGAGAATGGAGGGGACCCTGAAGGAGGGGGAGGCAAAGAAAGAGGCGGCACGGTTGGGACAAGAGGCGTGTGTGAAAGTGTGAAAATCTGAGGCAGGGGGGTCTGTGAAATTGAGGAACAGGAACTTCCTGTTCATGGGTGTCAATTTCAATTAGTTGGGTGTCAATTCAAATACATGGGTGTCAATTTCAATAATTTATGTGTCAATTTCAATAATTTATGTGTCAATTTCAATAATTTGGGTTGTCAACTTCAATAATTTATGTGTCAATTTCAAAAATTTATGTGTCAATTTCAAATTTCAATAATTTATGTGTCAATTTCAAAAATTTATGTGTCAATTTCAAAAATTTATGTGTCAATTTCAAAAAATTATGTTGTTAATTTCAATAATTTATGTGTCAATTTCAATAATTTATGTGTGGTGTCATTTTCAATAATGTATGTGTCAATTTCAAAAATTTATGTGGTTAATTTCAAAAATTTATGTTGTCAATTTCAATAATTTGTGGAACTCAATACATCACATGCATCAATTTCAATATCAATTATGTGTCAATTTCAATAAACTGTGTGTCAATTCCAACATAGTGTGTTCATTTCGATACTTTTCTGCCAAGCTCAGTAATTGGTTCATCAATTCCAATACACGGTCAATGTCAACACATTATGCAACAATTATGTGTCAATTTCAGTACATCTCAACAATTATGTGTCCATTTCAGTACATCGTGTGTCAATTTCCATATGCTGAGTGCCAATGGAAGGTCCCTCCTGCCAATCAGGGCAGGGACCCCCTCCAACCATCAGGGAAGAAATGCCAAGGAAGATTTCCCCGGATGTTGGCTTGTTCCAACGACGGTTACCTGAAACTCTGCTGCGCCGCTTCCGATCTGGTTGACGTTGGGCAGCGATCCGCTGTAGTAAGGTCCTCGGCTGTGCGCCAGTCGTAACTTTTGAGCCTGCAACTGAAGGCAGGAATGAGAAGCAGAACGGGGGTTAATTTCAGAGCCGGCCTGCACGGATCCTTCACTGGCCCTGGGGAGGCAGCGGCTTCACAAAGCTGATGGACAGCATTCTTTCCGACATGCCACAATCTCAGTGTGTGTGTGTGTGTGTGTGTGTGTTCAACGTACAGTCCCGCAACAGAGGCTCAAGCCAACGAGAGGAGAGGAAGAGCCGGACGGAGGCTACCAAACTCTCTCCTGGCACCTCGACCTGTCGAGGTAGCCTCAACTTACGACGACAACAGAGACTAGAATTCCCGCTGCTAAGCCGTTGCGGGTCCGTTGTGCTCCGTTTTACGGCCTTATTTTTTTGTCACTGTTTGTTCAGCGAAGTTTGTTTTTTTTTCTTTTCTTTTTTTTAAAGAGGAGATTGGGACCACCCTTTGTCTGGAATGGACTGGGCTCTCCTGCTCGAGCCAAGGGGGTTGGACTAGAAGACCTCGGAGGTCCCAAAAGTTAAGAGAGACCCCAATCCCGTACGTGCCAAAGAGGCCTCATT